AATCAACATAATTTTTTTTTAAACTAAAACCTTAGATATTTTCCTTTCATTTGATATAATTTTTTTGAAAATTTAACACTTAACCTGCTCATGGGGGGGGATTTAAAATTGCAACTTTTTTACAAAAACTAACTTTTTCAACTTAATTTTTGAAAATGTTCCGGAAATACTGCGTCCTTTAAACATATATCAAATTAAAGCTTATTTTATGTACTATAAAATGAAAAAAAAAAATTTGTCCCGACACTTTATCTTCTGCATGTAAACGGTTGCCGTAGTTAAAAAAACACTATTTTTGTGTTAAAATTTTCGATTTTCAATTTTTAATTTTCAACTTAAAAATGCTATAACTTTTCGAAAAATGCATGTATCAGCACAATTTTTTTTTTTCTAAATACATTATAAGTACATCTTCCATTTGACATACTTTTTATTAAAATTAGACAATTTCCCCTTATATAGGGGGGGTTCAAACTTTGAAACATTGTATAAAAAATAGAACTTTTTCAACTGAACTTTTGAAAATGTTCCGGAAATACTGCGTCCTTTAAACATATATCAAATTAAAGCTTTTTTTATGTACTATAAAATGAAAAAAAAAAATTTGTCCCGACACCTTATCTTCTATGTGCAAATGGCTGTCGAAATTATAAAAAAAATGTAATATTTGCGATAAAAATCACCTTTTATAACGATGTTTTTTGTACTTAAAACTGCCATAACTTTTTCAAATATTAACTAATCAAAATAATATTTCTTTATATTGAAACCTTAGGTAATTTTCTTTCATTTGATATCATTTTTTTTTGAAAATCTAACACTTATTCTGCTCACAGGGGGGATTTAAAATAGCAACTTTTTTACAAAAACTAACTTTTTCAACTTAATTTTTGAAAATGTTCCGGAAATACTGCGTCCTTTAAACATATATCAAATTAAAGCTTATTTTATGTACTACTAAATGAAAAAAAAAAATTTGTCCCGACGACCTATCTTCTATGCGCAAAAGGCTACCGTATTTAAAAATATGCTATTTTTTATTAAAATTCTAGGTTTTGTATTTTATTTTATTTTAAAATATTTTATTAGGGGAATAAACTGACTTTCATGAATATTATATAATTTCATTGACATAGAATAAAGTTCATAAGACATATGATATTATACTTATTAACATTTTTTACTTTTTTAAAGTCGAAAAAGTAATTTTTAAATTTGAGTTAGCTTAAATAGCCAATTTTATCATGCAACAAAAATCAACGAATAGTTGCCGAATGGGTAACACCTTGATCTTTAACGCCTAGGGTACGAGGTTCAAATCCGTTTGTGGCTTCTAAAATTTTGCATTTTTTTTTTGAGTTAGAATAGAATTTTCAAATCATTTGATATTTATCTCATTTAGATTCAATAATTTCAATAAATATAAAGGATCTTATCACTATAGTCTCCCCTCGTGAGAAGAAATTGATATTCATGTTAATATTATTTTACTATGTGGTTCTTTTTCTGGCTACGATTTATTTTGCCAACCCTCACTAGACCTACTTTTTTCAACGATACGTCAAATGATTCATTTAAGTTTATGATATTTAAGTTAATGATTAGTTTAAGTTATTACTCTTAAAAATCAAAAAAATATTCCTTATTCAAATAAAAAGTAGCTTAACTAGATTTGTCCATACAAACAATTAAAATCATTAATTTTTAATATTCTTAAATTATTTATTGTCGAATTAAATTTGATATGATAAAAGTATTCAACTACAAAAGTAAATAATTTTACTTTATAATTTATTAATTTTTTAACTCTATTTCTGTGTGCTACTACCAGTCTATAATATGCCAAATTTTTTAGTAATATTTTGCTATATAAATCATAAATTTAAAAAAAAAATGATTTTTAGTTTCACCTGAAGTTAACGATGGAGTTTTACAATTATAATTATATTTTTGATAATATGCTCAATTGAGTAAATCTTTTTAACTACTTTGGTTTGATTGGTTCATTTAATTAAAGTAAATTATTAAAATTAATTAAGTTCTGAATATTTCAATTGCAGAATTTTTTTAAACACCAAAAGTTATTAGGATATGATTACTATTCTTTCTATTTCAGTTATCTATTACGATAAAAATGTAAAAAAATCGAATTTTTCTGACAAATGTACTGTAATTAGTAATTATAAAATTTCCAGATTGCATATTAATCTTAAAAATTTCATTTTTTTCAATTTAATAATGTCAATTTCAAACTTGCAAGTTGAACTATAAGTTATGGTAACAAATTCATTTTTTAGCTTCGATGCGAAGCTGAGAAGGTATTTTTCATTAAAACTTTCACTTTAAAAGACAATAAAAAATAGGTTCAAAATGATTACCTTTAACATATTAAAAATCAAAATCAGTATTAATTTAATACAATTTTTTTTGTTCTTAATTATTTTTTTTTATATGTAAATACTTATTTTTTAATAATAAGTAATAATATTAAAACTTAGAAGTAATAGAAAAAGTTTAATTGCACATTTGAAAACATCACGAAAAGTTTATTTAGAAAAGTATATTTTTTTTCTGATGAAAGTTCCTTTTGTTTAGTGTATTTATTCATAAGTAACAAAATTTTTTTATTAAAAAGTATTGCATAAATTCCTTTAAATTTGTATACGCATTAAAAGTATATGAATATACAACTCCTTTTTATTTTTATAATATCTCCGTAAAAATTACAATATTATATTATTGAATACCACTTTCATACTCAATTTAATTACTGTAATTATTATGTATTCATATATTATAGTTATAAATCGGGGTAAAATTAAGGGAATAAGTGTTATTGTTGTTTTTGAAATAATCTACCAATTTCATTTTTTTCTATTTAATAATATTTATTTCAAACTTGCAAGTTGAGTTAAAAGTTATGGTAATAAATTCATTTTTTTTTTATTAAAACTTTCACTTTAAAGAACAAAAAGAAGTAGGTTCAAAATGATTACTTTTAACATATTAAAAATCAATAATAATTTGAAAATAATTAATTATAAAAATTATATAATATATAATTAAAATAATTACTAATCTGGATATAATTAAGGAAATAGGAGTTGATGTTGGGTTGGGTTGGTTACATTTTTAACTTTATAATGCTATAACTCATTGAAAAGTGTACGAATCAACACAATTTTTTTATGAGAAATAATATTTTTTAATAATCCCTTTTTCATTCGACATACTTTATCTTAATCAGGGTATTAATAAGAAACTAGCAGATAATGTAGCTTTTGTAATTATCCACCAATTTCTTAGAATTAAACACTATCTACTGATTTGCATCGAAGCGTTTCTTATGATAGTGATTTTAATCACTGTCAGATTAAATCTATACTGGACCCAACTATGCAACATCCCCACTATGCCGCGACCTCACTGTGCTGGGTTTTTTTTTTGTTGATCCGTAGCTGCGTATATATTTATCATGTCTATGTCTATCGTCTATGAGCAAGTAAAACACATAAAAATTGAATGATATAATCAATTTCANACATAAAAATTGAATGATATAATCAATTTCATTTTATTCGATTTCTTGACTTCGATTTAGCCGACTATAGTATTGAAAAAGTCCGAATGGCCGACTGGGGTAAGTTTAAGGGGCAAGATGCCCCCTTAGCCCCCCTTTAGTTTCGCCCCTGGTTACAAACATACATACATACAGGTGAAACTAATATAAGCGTGTTAAAATGAGTGTGTATAGAACGTAGGCGGAGTATACATACATTAGTACAGGTTTCACCTACCTGAGCTATATACCCTCTTAAATTATTAAATTATTAATACGCTTGTGACTCAATGAATATTTATTTAAAAATGTTATCGATCTATTAATTATTTTTGTAAAAACAGTTCTAAAACTATTTATTTATTTTGCAATCTTTAAAAATTAAAAATTATATTTAAATTTTTTTTTTTTAAAGGTAATAAAAGTATGATTTTTATTTGGTCAGGGCAGTCACAAGTTTAAAAAACGAACAATAAGGGGATTTGTAATACGTTTATATTATTTTCACCTGTATGTATGTTTGTTTGTAACTCTCCACATCCCACGTGTTATTATTCTCGTGTATCCCGTTGTCTATGTCCTTGACTAGTCCGTCGTAATACATTAATCCCTCCCCCGCTCATTACACTCTGACAACACTATATTTCTGTATAATTTTATTTTTGGTTTTCGTACCCATACATGCGCGCGTCATCAAAATTATATATGTACAGGGTGTTAGTAAAATCAATGTCACGAGTAGTAGGGTGATATTCAGTAGGACCTAAAAATAACGAAATCGAAAACTAAAATTTCCTATGTACAAAATTGAGGTTTTTCCGGTTCCCCCACTTCAAATTATATTTTTATCAAAAATAAATATCACCACGGTATTTCCCACGAAATTTTCATACAATTTGAGTGGTGAATCAATTTTTTGTAAATTTCGTGCATTCTCCTGAACTTTGGGTTCAAAGTTGGGAAAAAGTTTGTATTGAAATTTTACTGGGAGTCCTCTGATGTAGTTTATTTTTAGTTTAAATGATTATATAACAAGAAACCCCGGAAAAACCCAGGGATAATGTTATATTTATTAATTTCATGAGTTTATTTCGTCTTTTATTATTTATTCAAACCAATTATAATTTTTTTCATTAAAACTGTTATAAAATTATAATTTTTTTTTTTTATGCGGGAAAATATAATAATCNATTATGTTTTAATAGAATAATTATATTGTTACAATCCAGAATAGAGTTAATATATCTAAAGAGCTTATTACAAATGACAATGTACCCTATGGGTAATGTGAGCTAATGTGCGAACCAAGGCCGTAGCTGGAACAAATTTTCGGGGGGGGGTTTTAACCAAATTATATGTTTTTAAATAATTAAAAAAAAATACTAATACATAACATAAACAAAAAAAAATTGTCTTACTATTAAGTTAGGTTATACAACAAGATATACTTTATGTTATGATCTTTGTCATTATTTTACAAAATTTACCTTTTGAAGTATACTAAAGTTAAAATACAATACAATACAAAATTTTATGAGTCATTTTTCAGTTTAAATTTTAAAATAATACATTTTTATAGCACAAAGTCTATCAGTCTTTTTTTTTCTTTTGCAAAACTGTCGATCACATCGTCTGGATTTATTTTAATTTGTCTATGCACACTCAAAAGTGCTAGACCTGTAAGACGTTCTTGACCAAATGAATTTCGTAAAAAGTTTTTTAGCCTTTTCATAGTAGAAAATGAGCGCTCTGGTGTAGAAGTCGAAACTGGTAATGTAGCTAATATTTTCAAAAGAAAAGATACATTTGGAAAATATTCATAATTACATTTAATGTACGCTTCGATAGCCGAATTTGGACGGTCTACATCTAGTTCGTCAGTCCATTTTCTTTTCCACAGTTTAATTTCTTGTGGCAGTACTTTTAAATCCAGAAATTCTGAATATATTTCAAAATCATTTAAATCAATTTCAAATTTATCGCATGTTTTTGGTAATAACTTGTGCAATGAAGAAATTATTTTTTTATGATTATTGAACCTTGTTTGAAGCTGTTCAATGAAGTCGTCAAAAAAAGGAATAGCTATTGTAATACGGTAGTATTCTTCAGGTGAATTCACGACAATATTACTTCGATTTTTTTGATGTCCAACAATTCTAGGTATTCTTATACATTCTTCGTCATCAATTGATTTTATAAGAGCCTCAGCTTTTTTAAAAATATTGGAAAATGTATTATCCATATTACTTCGCATATCATTTATTTCGTGTAGTACAATATCAACATACGCCATTGCTTCGGTTAAATCACAATTTACAGACTGTAAATTCTTACACAGTGGCAATGTTAAGGAAAAAAGTATAGATGCTGAGACCATACTTATTACAAAATCACTGGTTATAATAGTTTTTCCAAATTGTAATGCTTTTGATGACGTTTCAATATCACGAGTGAACTGTAATTCTTCCAATGTATTAACAATTGCCTTATAAATTTCTGTAAATCTTATTAGTCCGTCATGATTTTCTACCCAACGTGTCTCGCACATTGATGTAAGTTTGGTCCACTTAGATTCAGGAAATTGTTCTTTAATGTATTTTTTTTAAATTTCGGTTCGCATTGCTGAACCTTTAATGAAATTTCCTACCGATTTTATGGTACCAATACAGTTACGAATATGTTGAATACTACAGGAATGAGAGAGAGCCAAATTTAAAGAATGAGCACTACAGTGTACGTAAAGCGCGGCCGGATATTCTTTTCGAATAATTGCTTGCACTCCTTTGAAATTTCCGCTCATTGCAGCCGCCCCGTCGTATCCTTGTCCTACCATATACTTCGGATTTATTCCAAGAGATTTAATACTATCTAAAATGATATTGGCTAAATTTTTACCAGTCGTATTTTCTACCGACACGAATTTTAAAAAATCTTCACGTAAAATGAATTGATGTTCAGGATCTTCATCGATATATCGAATACAAAGTGACATTTGTTCAATTCGCGATATATCAGTCGTTTCGTCTACTAAAATTGAAAATGATTTTGCCCTATTAATTCTATCCACTAAACAATTTTGAATTATTTTTCCAATTATATCAATTAAATTATTTTGAATAGTAGGACTTAAATACATAGCTTTAAATGTGTCATTTTCAATACAATCAGTCATCATTTTATCACCGCAGTTCATTCGCATTCGCAGAAGAGCTCTAAAATTACCATCATTGTGAACTGGCTCATTTAAAGTGAGTGGTCCAGAATCAGATGTACCACGAAGAGCCAATTCTTGACGACCACACAGAATTATTGTTTGAATAACTGGTGTTAATTTTTTTCTATTTTCAACTATTTGATTAGCACGTGCCGAATCAATTTTTTGACAAATATCTAACTGTTTGTTGCAATATATGGAAATAAAATTTTCAGCAAAAAAAACGTTGTTTTTATGATACTCTGTGTCCT